TTGTCATAACTTGTCAAATATAAGCAATTTATTATCTCTTTCATTATCCATTGCTTTTTGTTATTTTTTAAATTATATAAAATTTCTTCCAGGTTTTATGTTTATTCATATTATTCTGAAGTATTTAGTCTTCTGTATTTTAAGGCTCTAAATCATGACATATTATCAAATTAGCATATAAAAGTTTACATTGGCAAGATATACATTTTTTTGGAAATTACTCTTTGTCAAAATATATCATTATTTTAGAAAAATTGGTTCCACATTTGAAGTCAAATATTTTCTCTATTTATTGTGTTAGGAAGATTCTTTGATCTTCAATGTTCTCATTTGTTAAATGGGATTATGTATCCCCCTATCGAATTTTTCAAAATGATCTAGTGTAATATGCCATGGAAAAGGACAAACTGATGGTCTGTGTACCAACAATTTCAGGAGACAATAACATGAACATGCTTCAGCCTTCTTATGGGTAAAATCTGTATATAGCAGGGCTTGTCTCATGCTTCAATAATAGTTTATTATTTTACTTAAATAACTGTTTCAAAGGAAAATGGCATGATTAGTTAGAAAATTTTAGTGACAAGTGTTTGTCAAACAAGCTTAAATTTTTCTGGATTGCTGGGTTGGTCAAGCTCAAATTGATAAATTTGAGCTCAAATTCACTAAACCCTTTGAAAATGGAAGACATTGCTTGAGAGTATAGCATAGATACTGTTTTGAATCTAACATAGAGCATGTGATTCTGTCTTCTTAGGTCAAGATCTTATGTATTTTGTGCATGTGTATTCAGCAAGAACTACAGCTGAGCAAAATTAAGAAAGAAATCCTAAGGTTATCCAGTAGAATGTCATTGACTTAGAGTAATTGTTCTTCATTGTAAGTGTCAATATTTAGTGTGCTTTGGGGGACTATCAAGGCTCTGTGCTTATAGCCACAGGATCAAGAAATTCATACTGCTCTAAACAGTTTGATCATTAGAGTTGTAAAAGGAAATGATAAAACAGACCATATTACCTAGGAGGTAAAAATCTCATTTAAGACATTTTGTCACAAGGTTAAAAAAAAATCAACGTAAGTAGTAATATCTATCAGCATAAGAGTAATTATATGTTAAATATATATTTTGCACATTTAGATAATTTTTATTCTTGCATGATTGGAAAAATGATTGTATGCTCTCAATAAGGGAAATGAAATAAGTCCTTAATAAATGGAATATAATTCTAGATTAAGGATACTTTTTAAAGGCAGTTTCACCACATTGATTCTAATGGGATTACAAAGGATTATCAAATGGCTCCCCATGATGCTGGTGAGAGTATAACATGAGTATTTTCATTCACTTCTGACAGAAGCATGAAAGACTGTAAAAAACTTTGTAAATATTCATTATCTAATTTGGATTTATTTCAAAATCAATTAGAAATTCATAAATATAATTTATTCCTAAAGATCTTAATATAATATTAATAAGGAAAAAATAACCTAAATGTCTACATGTGAGGGAAAGGTTATACCAATTTTTTGCACAGATGTTAGAATATTATGTATCAATCAAAATGTCTTCATATTATGAAGAAGAAGGTAGGAATAATATTATTGGGTTTACTGCATAAGCTTAAGTATGAAATGCATGTACACAATATCTGGAAATAAATTTAAAATCGTTTCCAAAAAAGCTGCCATTGTATATAGAACATGTGACCTATTCTTCTTACACTTATTCTCTAAGTTTACTACAATAAACTAAGGTCTGCAATCAGAAAAAAAAAAAAGAAAGAAAAAAAATAACTTCAACAAAAATCTCCTATACCTTTCTTCCTTGCCCATATTATGTTATACAGCCTATGTGCAAAGTCAGAAATAATCCTTTATTCCTATCCTTCCTTGAAACCCCATATCTAACCCAATAGTAAATTACAGTGTCTATCTTAACACTATACTTATAATAAAACTACTCACTCCACCTTCATTGCCATTTTGTAGTCTAATCTACCTTTCTCTCAAGGCAGTATGCTCCTTTGCTCCCTGCTTTGAGTTTATTCACACCTAATCTTTTCTCTACACAGAAGTTAGAACTATATAATAATATTGATAGAATAATGACACTTCCTTGATTAAAACTCTATAATTCCTTCTTTAAAAATCAAAACTTTTTATTGTGGTCTGGAAGATCCTACAGAATGTGAATCAAGCCTACTTTTCTTACCACTGTATCATTATAATCTTCCTGTCACGTACTACTGTTTGGTCCTGCCAGCCTTCTTTATATCCCTACTATGTTATCCCCTTTCCCACTGCAATACCACGTATCCTCTCTACCAAGAAATTCTATCTCCTGAGTCGCTTTGGGGGGCAGCCAGGAGAATTCATCTGTCAGATAGCCAATCACAGAGAATCAAATTTATATTGGCCCTGAAATTTATCTCTGAGTTTCCACCAAAGCTCATGCTTCCCACAAACTGCTTCTGGTCAAGAGATGGACATGGCAAGGATATCAAGGCAGGCTCCTCCCTAGGAGGCATGGTAATCCTGTGATGGCTGACTTTGGTTCTAGGACTCCACTTGGCCTTGCCAAAGTTTTCTTAGGCTGCAAGGAGAGTAGAACAATTTCACTTTCAATCTTCCCTTCCTCTCCCTTTGACTCAGGATCATACTTGTAATGCACTCCTACAGCTCTTTCAGACTTGTCCAGACATGTCCCAATTTCTCATAGATTTTCCCTAAGAACATCTCTTTTTAATTTAATTTTAATTTTAATTTTTTTAGAGACAGAGAGAGAGCAAGCATGAGTGGGGAAGAAGGGCAGAGGGAGAGAGAGAGAGAGGGAGAGAGAGGAAGAATCTTAAGCAGGCTCCACCCTCAGCATGGAGCCCAATGCAAGGCTGGATTCCACGACCCTGGGATCATGGCCTGAGCTGAAACCAAGGGTTGGACACAACACACTGAGCAACCCAGGTGCCCCTCCCTAAGAAAATCCTTAAAAATTTAAGATCATTAGGGCATCGCTTCTCAGATAATCTGGACACAGTGATTCTCTCCTTCATGTCTTAATTTCTTTTCAGACAAAAGCTACCTAATATATAACAACACTGGTTACTCTGTGTCTATTTTGTATTGTTGGTTCTATTATTGTTATTATTTTAAACAGCACTTTTCAAAATACAAAATTGTCATGTTTAATGTTTATTTTTCTATTGTATTTCCCACCACTACAATTTCAGCTTTGTAAGACCAGGAATATTTTTATCTCATTCACCAATATATCCTTTTAGTATCTGAGACACATTCAAGCACTCTCAATAAGTATTTGTTAAATTAATTTATTCCTAGCCTGTAACTAATCTCTAACCCAGTCTATAAAATGGACTAAGTGAAAAAAAAAAGAAAAGAAAGGAAAAGAAAACAAAAGAAAAGAAAAGGAAAAGAAAGGAAAAGGAAAGGAAAGGAAAGGAAAGGAAAAGAAAAGAAAAGAAAAGAAAAGAAAAGAAAAGAAAAGAAAAGAAAAGGACTAAATGTAATCAAAGATTATGTAGCAGTTGACTGGATCAACAAAATATCCCTACCAATTCTGCCATATTCTCAACTTGCTTTTATCAACACAGAATGGATCTCATGACACTGATCCGTAGAAATGTGTGTGAATGCTTTGGCAGTTTCTAAGCCACCTCTACAAGCTAGTTATGTCTTTGAAACTAAAAGGGAAAATTAAAAATGGGGCTTCTCTTAGCCTTCAATTTTCTAGCCTACCTGGAACATTTCACACTAATTACCACCACCACTTTCTTCTCTAGACAAGTGCCTCTCTTATCCTCATTGACTTCACATTCTTCACGTATTCAGATTTACAAACCTACTCCATTACTGGCTCTATTTCATCTTCCTAATTGGTGCATGTATCGTACTAAAACTTAGGTTTAGGTATTACTGATGAGGGATAGAAGTAGAAAAATGTTCACCTTTAACTCAGAAGGCTGACCTACAGCCTACATAGTTTTCGATAAGGATCAAATACCCGCTGGTTGTGACATTCTTAAAGGGTCTCATGATTGCCTGTAAATTTCAGTGATATATAGTATCGAACCAAATGATAAACACCAGAGAAATCTTGGTGAAAACAGTTTTACGAGTAGAAATTCAAAGACATTTATGACCTACTACTCCCTGAAAGTCCTCTCCTCCTTGAGCACTAAGCATATATAACCACCAGGCTCCTACAATAAAAAGTGCAGCTCTTTCTGTCCACGGGTCCTGTCTCCGTGCTACCTAAATAAACTTACTAATTGCACAGTAAAATGTGTCAAGAATTCTTTAGAAACAGGTAAACCACATGTTATATTCAGAATGATTATGATGTATAGTTACCATCTAGCTCTACTGGTACCTATTATTGAAGGTTAGTAAAACCATCGCTTTCTCCACTCTTTTCTCTCCCCCTTTGGCCACCTTCTGGTGCCAATGTGAAAGGACTGACTATATAAAATACCCGAATAGGAAAGAGAAAGATAAATGTGAATTATTTCAATGAAGCATAATGTTTTTAGAAATATAAAGCTGCCCTGCTAATTTAGCAAGCTGTTAAATGTACACAAATAAACATCCTTTATCATTTGATTTAAAATTAACATACTTAAACACCATGCATACTTAACATACTTAAGCATACTTAAACACCAAGTTATTTTGGAATACAAAGGGATTTATCTATGCTAGTGGCCTTTTCTGTTAAAAGCACTCACATAGAACAAATTCTGGTCTATGTAGCTCTGAGACCAGTGCTTTCAAACAGATCGCGATTTGTATACCACCCACAAACAGCACTGAGCATTATTAATAAATACAATTCTGTTTCCTTCTCTTTTTATTAACAAAGCAATGATGATATTTATTGGGGTCAAGATAAATGTACAAAGAATTTATACTAACTTTAGTTTCCATGTATGAGATCATTTAATACTTTTAAATTAATTAATAATTTATTTTCAACATTTTTTCCTTAGATCCTTATTTGAAGAATCCAGAATACTTTGAAATGTAAGTAAAAATGCACCCAGATTCAGAAAGGATGCATTTTTTTCTAACCTGAATTATGTTGAAAGTCTGTTCTCTTTCCAGTAAAAGGCTCAATATCAGAATGTTATATGTGTAATGCCATGCAGATTGACTGTAAAAAAAGGAAGTTAATGTGATTCTTTTGGGGCATTATATATGGGGACATCATTGAGGGGTAATAAAACTTTATTTCCTTGTGTTTTTAAAATAGACCAAAGCATATTTTTTATTCATTTAAATGTAATGATACAATCTTGCAAAATGAAAATGTTATAAACACAAACTAGTTCAATTATTTTTATTGATGTCCAGTGCCATAACTTTAAAAATGTTAAACACATAATTTTCACACATATACAGAGTGAAAACAAATAAAAAACTTTACCTTTTTTTTGTTAATTTTTTTTTCAACATTTATTTATTTTTGCGACAGAGAGAGACAGAGCATGAACGGGGGAGGGGCAGAGAGAGAGGGAGACACAGAATCGGAAACAGGCTCCAGGCTCTGAGCCATCAGCCCAGAGCCTGACGCGGGGCTCGAACTCCCGGACCGCGAGATCGTGACCTGGCTGAAGTCGGACGCTTAACCGACTGCGCCACCCAGGCGCCCCAAAAACTTTAACTGATTAATAAGAGAATAGGAAGATGAAGTAGCTGATCAAAAAGAGTATAAAAACTCTTCTGATTTAGATATAGATATGGCTAAAGATATAGATATATATGGATCCTGCAATGAAATTGCCCAGTTAAATCTAAAACAGAGTAATGTACTATAGGATAATAAGACATAAACTTTGGGGTTATTTTGTCTAATACTAGTGAAAAAATTCTTTTGGGTCTTTTTAATTTGCATAATGCAACATCTAACTTTATAAAGGCTAAAGGGTAGTAAATTCTATGTAGGTACATTTTTCTGAATGGATAATTCTGATATGGCTTTATTAGGAAATGTTCTAGTATGACATTGTAGGGTTATTTATTTATTTATTGCCTTACTTACAGATTGTACATACTTTTTCTTAAAACTAATTATTGATTATTTAATAAAGATTAATGTATTAATTTGTTAATAAGTAGCTACTTCTATTGATCAGTCTATTAAACACAGATAATAGTTTTACTTTTGGTGGACATAGTTAAACAGATCTAAATCCTAGTATTAACATAACTTTTAACTCAGTATTACAGTGATCATTAATAAAACAAAACTCTTAATCTTAAAGACTTCAAATTCCTCTGCAGAGATTAATTTCTACCTAGGATATATTTTCATGTCCTATGAAACATGGCCTCCATCATTTGAGCCATAAATTTATTAAATCACATTTAGTGAGTGATAATATATAGGCATGTATTAAATATACAGGGTTTTAAATAACACAGACAGGTATTAAAGTGAAATAAGTTTGTTTAATAAATGATCCATATACCAAATGCTTAAAATCTACAAGAAAAATTTTAAGGATATAAATAATCAAAATTAAAAGTAATATATCAGACTGCTGATAAAAATAAAACTAGGATCATGTGTTTAAGGAATAAAATATTTCTTGCTGGGTTGATAGGAAAAGTCCTTAGCAAAAGTTAGGAGATAAACAGAGGCTTGAGAAAATAGTAGGCTATTGATGCTGTAGAAAAGAATAATTTCATTGTGCTTCTGGTTACCAACATTGAATATTGATGGTTTTCAGTTCTGTTATTAGTTAACTAATGTTCAGAGATCAGAAAAGAGCAACAGGGAAAAACAAAATGACAATAAAACACTACATCATTAGTTGACACCAGAATAAATTGAGATAAAATTCAAGAAATTGATGATTCTTTATACTGATGCCCAACTCATATTAAACACTCAAGAATTTAGTTATCACTTGGGAAGGAAACAAAAAGGAGAAGAAAATTCTTTAATTGAATTATTTTTTCCTTAAAAACAACACTAAGAAAAAGGGCTGGGATGAGTAAGTTGACCATTAATTGGCAAAATTCAATTTTAGAACCATTAGTAGAAATGTGGGTTTAACAGCTAAGTGAAATTATTAGGAGATAAATATTGAGATATAATTAAAGATAGCAAGAAATCAAGTATTTTTACTCTCTTGAGTTTATGTCTGTAAAAGTACCTCTCAATCCGATCCCCAGCCTAAATTTCTTATGGCTTTAAAGACAGTTTCCTAATTCTGCATTTTTTTCCTTTTCTTCCTTCCTTCCATCCTTCCTTCCTTCCTTCCTTCCTTCCTTCCTTCCTTCCTTCTTTCTTTTCTTTCTTTCTTTCTTTCTTTCTTTCTTTCTTTCTTTCTTTCTTTTTCTTTCTTTCTTTCTTTCTCTTCTTTCTTCCTTTCACACCCACATAAAACTGTGTTAAACTCTTTAATTGAAAAATACAGCAACAAAATGAATAGTGGTATTTTCTTATTCTGCTTTTTTAAAATATTTAGGCTTACCCTCATTCATGAAATGTTCAGTGTGTATTCTCATGTGAGATTCATGGATGTGTAAGGAAACAGGACAGTCTGTTATGCGTATTTTAAGCAACAGAGTGCAGGTAAATATACTCGTCAAAATAATGAACTGTACAAGCAAATTCACCTAAAAGGCCCAAGGACTTTTTAGGAGGAGAAAAGTACTAGGAAGTTCTGAATAAGCTGAGGCAGGTTTTCTCTGCCCTGCTCTCACCACTGTATCCATTATCCTACATTTCAGCAGAAGTGAATTTTTTCTTTCTTTTTATTTTCTTTATTTCTTTTTATTTTATTGGCAAGTTAACTCATGTACAGTGTATACAGTGTGCTCTTGGCTTCAGGAGTAGATTCCATGCTTCATCACTTACATACAACACCCAGTGCTCATCCTGACAAGGGCCCTCCTCAATGCCCATCACTCATTTTCCCTGCCCCCCGCCCCCCTCCTGTCAACCTCTGTTTGTTCTCTGTATTTAAGAGTGTCTTATAGTTTGCCTCTATCTCTTTTTGTAACTTTTTTTTTCTTTCCCTCTCCCACGGTCTTCTGATAAGTTTCTCAGGATCCACATATGAGTGAAAAAATATGGTATCTGTCTTTCTCTGCCTGGCATTTCACTTAGCATAATACTCTCCAGTTCCATCCACATAGCTACAAATGGCCAGATTTCATTCACTCTCATTGCCAAGTAGTATTCCATGGTGAATATGTATATATACATACACACACACACACACACACACACACACACACACACACACCACATCTTCTTTACCCATTCATCAATTGATGGACATTTGGGCTCTTTCCATAATTTGGCTGATAGCATAATTTGTTGATAGTGTTGCTATGAACATTGGGATACGTGTGTGCCTAAAATCAGCACTCCTGTAAGAAGTGATGATTTTCAGGGTGCCTAAGTCAGTTAAGTGTCCAAACTTCAGCTCAGGTCATGATCTTGCATTTTGTGGGTTCAAGCCCTGCATTGGACTTTGTGCTGACAGCTCAGAGCCTGGAGCCAGCTTAAGATCCTGTGTCTCCCTCTCAATCTGCCCCTTCCTGACTCATGCTCTATATCTTTATCTGCCTCTTAAAAATGAATAACCATTAAATATTTTTAAGAAGTGATAGTTTTCAATACCTACTACCCTGTGGTTAAAAACTGATACATTTGGAAAAAAATGTTTATGTTTATTTATTTTTGAGAGAGAGACAGAGTGTGCACCAGAGAGGGGCAGAGAGAGGGAGACACAGAATCTGAATGAGGCTCCAGGTTCTGAGCTGTCAGCACAAAGCCCCACGCGGGGCTGGAACTCAAGGACCACAAGATCATGACCTGAGCTGAAGTCAGACGCCTCAACCAACTGAGCCAACCAGGCGCCCCAAAACTGATACATTTGAAATAGAGTCAAATTTAGTTTTGTTTTTTTTTAAGGTTTATTTAGTTTTGAGAGAGAGAGAGAGGCAGAGACAGAGTGTGAGCCAGGGAGGGGCAGAGAGAGAGGGAGACACAGACTCTGAACCAGGCTCCAAGCAGGTTCCAGGCTCTGAGCTGTCAGCACAGAGCCCAATGTGGAGGTCAAATGCACAAACTGTGAGATCATGACATGAGCCAAAGTCGGACACTCAACAGACTGAACCACCCAGGTGCCCCATACATTTATTTTATTTTTTTATTTTTTATTTACTTATTTCTGAGAGAACCGGAGAGAGGGTATGAGCTGGAGGGAGGGGCAGAGGGAGGGAGAGGGAGGGAGGGAGAGAGAGAGAGAGAGAGAGAGAGAGAGATTCTTAAGCAAGCCCCATGCTCAACACGGAGCCCAATCTCATGACTGAGATCATGACCTGAGCCAAAATCAAGAGTTGGACGCTTAACTGACTAAGTCACACAGATGCCCCTATTTTATGTTTTTAAAGTAAACTTAATATTAACTTTTTAAGAGCTCTATACCTTTGAATCCCTTTCTTTCTCTCTCTCTCTGCCTCCATCTGTGTCTCTCTTATCTTCCTTCCTTCCCTCCTTTCCTTCTTTACCCTACCATCTCTTCCTTCCATTAAGGATTTCCTTTGAATATTAAAGGTGAAGGCCCTTGAACTATATATACCTTAAACCATACACTGAACAAAATGTGTACTGACACTTCTCATTAAAAAGGATGGTTGGAAAAGGAGAAACAAAGGACCATGAGTAGGAAGCATCTGAGAAACACCTCTTGCTCTAGTCCCAGGTATCAGGGAAAGAAACACCAAGTGGAGTGAACCAGATCTGAAAAAACCTTTGCTTTCTTTTCTTGTTTAAGCCAGGGAAAACAACTATTTTTGTGAAGATAAGCCATTATTAATGACATTGAAATTTAAAAAAATCAGTAACTCTATAGGAGACATTGTACCAATTCATATTTATAAAGAGTTATCGAGGGGCGCCTGGGTGGCGCAGTCGGTTAAGCGTCCGACTTCAGCCAGGTCACGATCTCGCGGTCCGTGAGTTCGAGCTCCGCATCAGGCTCTGGGCGGATGGCTCAGAG